TAAAGGAACTCAAGGAAAAAAAAAAAATTTTAAAACTTGTGAACTTTGACCAGATGTTGACACTTCATACGCAATTCCAGACAGCTGTGATTATTTTTTACTTTTATCCTTTTTCATTAACAACAGAGGACCAATGGAAACAAGAACGGAAATATGAAATCATGGGCACACTGAAAAGAATTTATGCCCATGTAAAGATCCTCTGGGGAAAAAAAGACTCCAAGAGTTATAACTACTGTAGTATATAAACATAGGAACTAAGTTAACTTGTATATTTCTGTTGATCACTCCGTTATGTTGCCTCAGATAGTTTTAGAAGGAAAAAAATATCCTTGTTTTCCACACTATGTGTGTTGTTCCCAAAAGAATGACTGTTTCGGTTCAACAGTGAAGTCGCTATCCCTGAAAGAAAACAATATATTTCAGACCTCTTTGGCCAGTGAGAGAAGAACTAACCTGGAGATGAAGACAGAATCTTGCTGGATCTTCCATCATTCAGAAGACAGTTCCGTAAAGGCCTTGCCATCCCCTGGTTCTGTTCCTTCATAAATGTGTCCTTTAGTTTCAAACAGATCTTTATAGTTTGTGCTTCGTAAGCCCAAGATATTTTTGGACTCTTTTTTTCAAAGAGCCTGCTAATGAAGATTTAAAAAACAGAGCAGGAGCTTCTTTTAGTAATTCTGAGTCTTGGCTTTGGACAAGATAAATCTGAAGGTTGGGCAGCTTTCCTTAAGAAAAAAGATATTAATGGTCTTTGCACCAAACCTAGAACTCTATGATGAACTCCGAGCTTGAGAAAAAGCAAGAGAATACTGTAACAAACTTCGTACAGAGTTCAGTCTATTAATTGTTTCATGTTAGATATTCTATGTGTTTACCTCAACTGAAAAAAAAAGAATGTTTTTGCTAGTATCAGATCTGCTGTGGAATTGGTATTGTATGTCCATGAATTCTTCCTTTCTCAGCACGTGTTCCTCACTAGAGAAAAAAATGCTGTTACCTTTAAGCTTTGTCAAAATTTACATTAAAATACTTGTATGAGGACTGTGACGTTATGTTTTAAAAAAAAGTGTTAAGTCACAAAATGCGGTAATAAATATTTCATTTTTTGATTTTTTGTTAGACATTTGTGTTTTTAATGATTAGAATAATGTATTTTCTAGCGATAGCAAGAGCTATTATCTTGCATTTGTTGCATATAATAACTAAAATAAAACTTACCTAAATTTATAGGGCTTTATAATAGCAAATGAGGTTATAAATCCTTTAATGTGGTATAATATTATTAGAATTATGCGTATCCTTTATATTTAGAACTAAACTGTATATGTGTTTCCATATATGTGGTAAAAGGAAGTACATGAATAGTGAATTTTTTTTCCAGATTCTATTTCTGGCCTTAGCCTTAGTTGAACAAACCCATAACTGACTCTAATACAAAGCTTACAGACTATCATCGAGGATGAAATTATTAATGTTAGATCGTGAATGGATTTAATGTCTGATATAATTAATCACTGGAACAATTTATCTTCAGAAGCTATGGGTGCTCCAACATGGGAAGTTTTTAAGAAGAGACTGAACAACCATTTGTCTAAAATGATATATAGGGTTTCCTGCCTGAGCAGGGGGTTGGACTACTAGAAGACCTCAACTCTGTCATTCTATTCTATTCTATTCTATTCTATTCTATTCTATTCTATTCTATTCTATTCTACTCTACTCTACTCTACTCTACTCTACTCTACTCTATTCTAAGTTCCAAACCATTTTATTTATATATATTTAAATATATAACAATGATATCAAAAATAATCCTCTTTAAATGAGTAAGAATGGACAGTGGTTATCACTCATAATTATTAGGACTGTAAAAATATTTCAAAAGAATTGTTACATAATTCTACATGTTGCAAAGCACTTTTCTAGGATTTGCACAGCTCTAATAATTAGTCTGCAATTCTATGTATGTTTATACAGAAATATTCTGTGTATCTTTCTTTTAAATATGTGTGCATAGCAATGCAGGCATAGGTATCTAAAATAAATTTTAGAGTACCCAAATACAAATACATTATATGCTATATAAAGTAGGATACAACAAATACTATCAGGTGGTTGCATTTCAGCTTATTAAGGTAAGATATGATTGAACCTTTTGTTTTCCTTTACAGGATACAGAAATCAAAATAGGAAGTCTCTAATTAATGTGGTTTATGTTTTGTCCACACTAAGAAATAATGGTTCCTGGTTTTAGAATTAGCACACTAAATTATTAATGTTACTTTTTAAAGTAATGTAACACAGATAACAGTAGTTTTTCATAGGGACAATATGGGAAACTGTCCTGGCCTAAAAAAAAAATAGGCTGTACTCATGGCAGAAAAATTGATACGTTGGCTTTTTAAAAATGAGACCTAACAGTCGGAAGAAGAATAAACAGGTCTTGGTTTGTACCCATGCACATAGGGCCATGTAGCCTGCTCTCACATTGTTACTTTTTAACATGACATGATTTATTGAGACTAAGACTACAGTAAGTTTATAAGAACTGAGTGTTACTGAATTCCACGAGTGTTATGGAATTCAGTGAGCTGGAAACAAAACAGTCACATGGATCTGGAGGGGAGGAACAATCCAGCTTTCTACCCATTCCTCCACGTTTAGAGTATACATGCCATTAGGTGCCTGGTAGAAGGGCTTCATAATACAACCTCTTTTCATTGTAGGTAGATTTGCTGCAGAAAGGAATTTTTGCTGGAGCATATCTAATGTCATGAAGCAGAAAGACGACAATGCAGTTAATAGAAAAAGTGTTACAGTTAAAGAGTTCAGTGATGGCCAGAATATTTGCAAAAGTATCAGCCAGTTGCCCCACATCTCATGAGGAAAGTGAAGCAATGTGCTTCAAGTGGTATGGCACAGGCAACAGGCATACATGAACTGCTTCTTTGGCAAGTTTTTGTGCCACCAAGAAATGGGGCACCATTTGTGTTCTGCTGCACACAGGCATTTTTTCTTAACTTGATTGGTAAAAAAAATTTAATTTGATTCTTTAACATATTAAAACAATTGCAAAACAACCTTTCAGTCTTAAAGTGCTGTACAACAGAAAAGGAATATGAAATCTTACTCCGATGAGGCAGTTCATCTATACTTGAACCAAAAACAAATTCTATATTAGATGTTAAATTTAACTTTCATTTAAACCTTTATGATTCTCAGTTCTGTTATTCAGTTCTTACATTCTTAGAAATATAAACTAAGCATTAAATTATTAGAACAATACCAAAACATTTTTCTTTTTTCTTTTAAATGAAACTGAAACCAAAGGGTCGTATTTTAAATCAGATGTTGTGACTATTTTCTGACCTTGGCAAAATACAGGGTTTTCAGTGAAGATATTAAATTTTCCCAGCAAACTTACCTTTTTTTAATTTTTGTAATGAACTAAAATCTTTTTATTCCTACAGCGTCTTTTCTCTCCCTAGGTTCTAATCTGCATGAGCTATGCTGCTAGAATCTGAGCTGCACTATAATGTGAAAAGATTGTGCCATCTGAGGTTTACTATTTAGCATGGAGAGTTCTGATTTGGGTATATTTAAGAAATGTTCAGCTGTCAAAAGTGAAAGAAAATGGGAATAGTGTTTTGACAGCGGCACAGTGTTAAAGGAAATACTTTAGTCTAACTAAAATTGCTTACGTTCTGGGAAACGAAAGGTAATAGAAAATAGAAAACACCTCTTGTTTATTGGGGGGATATCTAATTTTCCATTTCCCTGAACAAACCAAGAAGACTCTGTAATCCTAGAAAAATAAGAAATGTTTGAAATTGATCCATTCTTTGTTATGGAAGATGGAAGGAATCTTGACAAGGAAAACAGGAGCTTTAACTTCTGGCTGTTTTTGGTAGACTTCTAATGTAAAAGGGAGAAATGAAATTGGTTCGGGAACACATTTTTCTTCCTAGGCAAAATTATATATTCAGTTCATGTACAAAGCAAATTGTCTATGCAGTGAATGATGTGGTGTCATCTAAAAGTTTCACCAAATAAATATTTTAAAATTTAACATTATTTCTCTGCAGGCCCCAAATTCTCCCTTAAGACCTGATGCCAGGCTGCAATGCAATTTACGTCTAAGTAGGTATGTTTGAAATAGATCTGTAAGGTTGCAATTTCCATATATTGCTAAAGAGAGCAAATGTTATGAACTTAGAAGCCCCCCCCCAAAAAAAATTGTATAGGATGTACAGCAAGGGGCTATTCTAAACCCCTAAAAGCTTTTGTGCCATGTGTGAGCACTGCTAAAAACACAAATCACGACAACATAATTCACATACAGCATCATATACAAATAAATAGCAATGAATAAGTCTAAAGCCCATTAAGGGGATGGCAAGAAGAGAAAAATCCATGACAGAAAGATCACAGTGTCTCTGAGAAGTGGCAGGATACATTATTTGGTGTCTCCCCTCCCCTTTGCAAAATGGGGAAAATCTAGTAGATCTACAAAGAAGGATTTTTCAAGCTTCCTCTTTTGTTAGGAAGACAGCCTTGGCCTTTCTTTACCTCTGTATTAGTGTAGGCCTAGGATCTAGGAGCTCTAATTCCTCATACAAATTGTGGCTTTTTAAAGAGTTGCTATTCTTTGCTTCTCCTCTACCCCACAGTCTTCTTCTGCATGTTCACTCCAAAGTAAACCTTGTCAAATTAAGTGGGTATCATTCTCAAGGCAGGAGAGTTATTAGAGTTGTAACCTGAGAAACAGACACAATTGAAGGGGGGGGAGAAGGAGAATGGGGGGGAGGCTTTGAGAGGAGTTTCTGGCCAAGTTAAGTAGGGGGAAGAAAAACCCCACAGAGAGAATAAGAGGGGACTGGGTGGAGATGTTATAAAGCAGATTTTCATATTAATAGTTTAGGAGAAGTGAGGCAGAAGAGAGGTTGGTCTTCTGGGCAGGGTCCCTGCCACAGTCATGATGGATGACCCAGGAGGAG